CGGCGCCCCCCGCCCGGCCGGGGCTTCCGTCCTGCTTGCAGCACCGCGGCACGGCCCTGCCGCCACATTACTTGTATTTTCCCCTGGCGGATAATCCATCGCTCTCCCACCGCCAGCTGGATTTCCTGAAGCTGGCGGTGTTCAGACGACAGTTTAAATCCATGTTGGTTTATACATCTGTATAGACACCCTCCAACTCGGTGTTCGGCGCCAGCAGCACTTGTGGGCTCGCTCTCACGCAATCTTTCCCAAGCCCTCCCAACCAGTTTGAAGACCTTCTGACACAGACTATCTTCCTTTTCTAAAAGTAAACCTACAGTTTCTCATAGGCTTGCTCTCCATGCCGCCTTTTCGGCTGCTGAAAGTGGAATTTTTTCCAATCTCCTTTTGCAAGCAGCCTCCTAAAGTCTGTCATTGTTCCCTTCTTTGTATTAATGGTGCACAGTTCAGTTGTGAGAACTTTAATAAAGCGCTTAAATTGCACAGATTTCTTGCTCTGGGAATTCCACATTCATAAATGTGCCCCTTCAATTCTGTAATTCAAAACAACCCATTTAAGGTTGATTTCTTATGAAGTTATTAAAATGACAGCATAGCATTTAAAAAATAATCTATATCTTAATCATGAACATATTTCTCTGGAAATTACTCATGGCTGCATGTGTAGCCTATACCAATATAACATTAAAGATTACGTCAAGGAGAAAACGATCAGCAGGCTAACTCAACCATGATCACAACAGCAGCTTTCTCGTGTCTGAAATTGTCATTGAAATCCATTTTCCCATCTTTACTAATCCACTGGTAGACTTACAGTGAAACGAATGCCATCTCTAGCAATGGCACAGCACGTAGCATTGAAGTGCCTTTTAAGAAAGTAAAAAGTATGAAAGAAATAAAAACGTATTCTATGTCAGTAGATAGCACAGTAAACGCGCTTTATCATTTCCAAGAAGGATGTTCATATCGCATGCACACTAGCTATTTATTCAGTTTGCGGGTTTGGTTTCAACAGTACCAGTTGTTAAGACAAACGAAGCAATATACAAAGAATCTTATCAGGTCTTGGTAATTCTTTATTATGTGGCTGCACTTGACACTCAAATTAGTGAAACAAAGGGCCAACTTGATGTATCATTGAAAGCAAATTATCTGTGGCTCTCCAAGGCTTCCTGCAATAGACTACAAAAGGCAGCTCATGCATTTTACAGTGCTGTTTCTCAACTATCAGCAAGCAGGTTGCTGGTGGCTGACCTTTCTAAGCCTTTCTAATATATTTTGCCATGCCACACTGAAGCATCATTTTTATGATTTAGGCTCACAGCTGTATCTTAGACATCTGCTACACAGTATGTGTGACCAAATTCATTAAGCTTATGGTTTTTGGTAGAATACCCTGGTTCAAAAATCTACTGATAAAGGAGACAAACTAAATTTTCTAATTTAATGCTTAGCTTGACTTGAACAATGTCCAGCTTTCTGCTTCTCAGATATTTAATTAGATTGCTATGATGGTCATAGACACTGTATTTGGCAGTCAAATGCACGGTGAAACAAATACAGTCGTGTAATGTAAATCCTACAGAGGTTTTTTTATGTGTAAGCATGGGAACTTTAGAAGTCATCTGGAAAACAGCCCAGCTATTTAATTTAATGTTAAGTTCCTATAAATTAATAGTTTTAACTATCTGGAGGTGTGTATTTAACTGTATATTTGAGTCTATATATGTGTATGGTATGCATCTATATACACAATAGTTAGATTTGCAAGGAGTGGAAGAACATAGGCTGAGCTCATAAGCATTTAATCAACATGGAAACAAGTCAATAAAGAACATCCTAAAGTTGATCAGGTTTCCTGCTTCTATCATTTTTTTCTCAAAATGCAGGGGATACTTAACTGGATTTCTGACTGTTTAAAATTCTGCCATAATCCTGTACACGCAAAGCATTGCAAGCACTTGGTTTTCTCCATCGACAGTTTTGTTTGCCACTCTTGGCTGACGTGTTGCTCCATTTCCTTGACACTCAATTTGAAGCTGCAAAGCATAGGCAAAGACTGATACTGCTCTTCACAGCCCTATATACGTCACTGTCCATGCATTTATTTTCCTACAGAGCTTAGAAGTAAAAATAGATTACAACATACACAGGTGTTCTTGGCAGCCCAGCAGAAAAAGTGGCAGAGTTGTGGCTAATTGTTTTAATAAAACCTGACTAAGGAGAGCTTTCCTTCTGCTTAGCAGGGGACAGAGGTTGTCCCATCTCCCAATTTACTCTTTTCACGTACAACCTTCTGGCAGCTACAGGCTGACAAAAGAGTCACATGAGATAATAATCTGCTTGTGGCAGCAGGAGGCAGGTTCAGGAGGATCTAAGATAAAAATGACATAAAACAAAAATTCATGTAGACTGAGAAATCCATGTAAGAAGTGGTGATACAGACAGAAACAAACTTCTCAAAACTGACACTGGATCTGGAGTGACAGGGTTCTTTCATTGATTCCTAAATAAAACTGCTCAAACAGCAACTTTCCCTGAGCTGCCTGGATGAATGGAATAACTATCCTTTTACAATGCATTTTTACCCAGCGTGTCTTTCAGAGATTTCCATGTATAGATATAAAACACCCTTTCAAAGAAACTATTCAAGGTTGATTTCTCATGAAGTTAATAAAGTAACAACATAACATAATCTATATCTTGCGTTAGGAACAATTATGAACATATTTTCCACAGTATGGTTGGCCTGCAAAGAGCACTTGAGTGAAGAGTCTCTTACTCTTCATCCGTGCCGGTGCATCTCAGCCAACGGGGGCCAAAACATTCAATGCAATTTAGGATGAGGGCAACAGCTAGCATT